CTATCCACTATAAACATAAGCACGTCTATGAAGGCAATGAGAGGAATGAGGGGAGACGGCGGGGTGATGTATAACGTTGCTGGACACCGTTCACGAACAGATAGGCGGAATACGTCTCCCGCATCTGCGCGCAAAAATATATGTTTCGTTTCTGTCGCAGTTTGTCGATCCAGCCATGGATGCTGATCACAAAGTAAACCATGACCTAAGCCGCACGGCGCATGCTGCCGCTTTCTCACTCATAAGGCCATCGAAGTTGGTAAAGCTGATGAGAACATAACAACCCCACACAACGCCTGACTTGGCAAATCAGATCAATCGAGTCTCCCTTGCTGCAACAGAACACTCACAAGGCTTCTTTGTACACATAATTTAACAGGTATTTACCCTTTCAGGAGATATCACACAAAAATGGTTCCTTAAGTATTCCGCCACTATTTGATAACACAAAAATATTGGAGTACTTCAGCTTGAAATGATACAACAATAAGATGCAAAGCAGTAAACTGCGAACTCGATGGCTACGCTTTAAATGTTTGGAATGATTTTCTAGCCGGTCACAGGCATCGCGCCTACCCCTACCAACCAGAATAAGGAACACAGCAAAAACGCCCAAAAAATATACAATAGGGAGCAGCTGCTTTGAGCGCTTGAAACGGCCAGTTTGGAATCCCGAACTGGAATCAGAACTAAGTGGGGTGTGTGTTCCTGACTAACGGCACCGTCATTCCGCTGTTGAGGTGTTTAACTCAAGCACAAATACATCGCTGACCACGGGTTGGGTAGCGGAGTCCGGTCTGCAACGCACCGAAAAGTACATGACGGGGTCATCCGTACAAAGACTCCTCACTGCTGTCGAGAAAACACGAACGCCTTCAATGTAATCAGAGTCCATGTCATACTGAGCCGGGAACCCGGTGCTCATGTGGTACTGAGCCGGGAAGCCCAGCGCCCATGTGACACTGGGCGCGGAAGCCGGCGCCAATGTGATACTGAGCCGGGAAGCCCGGCGCTCATGTGATACTGAGCCGGGAAGCCCGATCATCCGTCACCAGCTGTATAAATGCGGCTGTATTTGACCAAAAACCGGCTGTTCTCCAAATACGCATCAGCACTTATACGCTAAACGTGTTACCCCGGTGGGTTTAAAAGGTTTGGGCATGCCAAAAAAAATTCGAAACATGCAATTTCTGGAATAAGCCTTTCGCCCCTGAACACATATAGACCAAATGTAGTCCCTGAACAAGTAAAGAAAAGACGTAATCCCTGAACAGACGTAGACTAAATGTAGTTCCTGAACAAATATCGAAAAGACGTAATCCCTAAACAGATGTCGGGCAAATGTAGTCCCTGAACAGCTGTAGAGCAGATGTAGTGCCTGAACAGATGTAGATTCAGAACAACGGAAATGTTGTCGCTCTTGCACTCAATTACTCAGCTGGCGGCGCCACTAAGCTGAAATGCCGCCATGCCGCCTACAGCCTCCCAAAGGGCCCACCCAGGTAATGCCAAGGTCAAAACTCCGCAGGACTGTTGCGAAACGGCTGCTGAAAATCGGCACATCATAACAAATCTGGAAAATACGCCCATATTTCACGCGCATTCCAACCAAATGATATCAAGACACGCCCAATATCATGCAGACAGAGGGTTGTAACTTCTTAGAAGTTCACTATGTAGGCAATGTGCCTGTCTTTCTTCTGCTGCGGAGCACAGATGGTGTTTATTGTTCTTCCGCGTCTGCATAAAAACACATGCACGTACACGTGCATCCGCACACTCAAACGCACACACATATTAGTTCGTGGCCGCCTGCAAGGCGGAGTGGGTTAAAGTCCCTTCCTCCGAGTTTCCACAATAATTCCACACTGCACGCGGCAGGTTCATCAATTTCTCAGCACCTGACATGTAACCAACTACACACCTTGTGGGAGAAAAGGCTTTCTTGCTGGGTTAGATCGCTGAAATTTGCGCACATCTTTTGTGAAGGAAGACATCGAAGATTTTTGCCTCCGCAAGCAGCGATTCGCAACGTTTTTCCTTGCTTTGTATCACTTTGACATAATTCAAGGACGAGTTTAACTGTCTACCCTCAGGGTACACCACGCTATATGAGGTAACACCAAGCCACCATAAGAGATCATGTGAGGTCATCTTGGACCATAAGTGACGGAACGTACGCCATGTGTCACGTGAATTTGTGATAAGTCGATATAGATTCACATTTCTCCACCAACAACTTATGTATGTCATGTGAACCAGACCAGAACCTGATCTAGCCTAACCTGAACAAGATATGATCTTGACACGTGTCCGTTGTCATCATGGCACGGGCTTGGGCGCAAGTACGCGGGTGCTAAACACAAGTGTTCTGAAGTCATTCACAGATGTTGGTGACTTTCAAGGTATTTCGCGTAAATTGTTAAGTCATCAGTCATGTGGAAGATATCAAATCAATGCTTCCTAATTGGGAATGATCTGTCATCCATCGCCCCTTGACCTTTTCGATTTGATGACAAATCCTGGGGACGTATTTTCAACGGCTCCCCAAGCGGTGGTCGGTGGCGAGATAGACGGGCGGCGTTGGGATTAGCAGCAAGCCGTTCATAGCCGCGTGCGCCCCCATCTTCATATCAAGATGAGACATCTCGTTACGCGGGTGAAATGGGTTAAGGATACGCAAAATACGCTTCACAGGCCAATTTCAGTCAAGTGATGGAGTTGCTATTTTCACCAAGACCAGGGCATCAGACCCCACGCAACTATGTCACGCCGCTATCCTCTTTCTTGGTCCTTCGCAAGTGGGGTCCCACTTACAACGCGCTTGTTGTTGTTTATTGGAGTTTAGAGGCGCACCCACAGCAGTGGTCATTTGGCGCCCACGACGAGTTTTGTTCTACCTAACTAGTGCGCCGCGCAAATGGTCCCGAAGTTGATGTGTTTCAGAAACAAAAAGACCTGTTGGGATTTAAGGTATTGTGAGTTGTTTCCTAGTATGTCACAGAGGGTAAGGGGCGAGTTGTGCTGTCCAAAGTGACGTTGACGTTCTTCCACGAGGCGCGGACAAGATGCAAGGACATGGCGGACGGTGAGGACAGCGCCACATCGATGGCAGATAGGTTTATCGGCTCCCTACAGAGGATCACCTCTTCTCGCCTCACTTTGCGGAAACAAGAGAGCCACTGACCCAGCTCAGGTTGTATCGCTCTAAGCTTATTACAATGCATCCCATCCCAACCACGCTGCCACTGGTTGTGTGGGAAGGTTGTTATTCGAGTTGTTCTTATCATCAGTATGTTTTATCAGGTTTTCAACAAGACGTTTCTTCCACAAGAGGGAATTACTTGCATTTGGCCGGACGACGTAACGTACAGCTGCACAGTCTCAAATCCAATTACGCAGACCGCTAGGTCACGGTGCAACTTAAACTAAACGGGTAATGGTACTGAGATAAGCATTGGTCCCGAAAGCTCAAGTCCGACCAGGTACCTTAGTTGGTTAGAGCGCCTGCCGTACGATCCACCCGCAGGGTGGATGGGCGGGCGGATTCGGTGGCGAGGTGGGTTCGAGTCGCCTTAGGCGCTCGCTATTTGCTCTTGACAGACACGGTCGGCGGCCGTTGGCAGAGGCCGCGCGAAAGGTCAGGTGGCCTGCGACAGCAGGCCGGACCGTGTGGAGCATTACGGCACGTTAAACTTTTGCAACCCAATTTTGCCGTTGACCCGGCTTTGCGATCTAGGTCAACGATCCGATGGTGGTGATCAGGGCTCACACAACAAGCACTGCTTAGCGTGAGCTCTCATCCCAGAAAGGTAGCCATTCGGAACGCTCGGAGTACAGCTGAGAAAAGGAATGAAGCTTCCAAATTTGATGCAAATTTAAAAAGGCATTGGGTAGAGTAAAGCGTTCGTCTTGAGACGCAGCTTCAAGAACAGCGTTGGGATAACAGATATATGATTAGCTTGGTCCAAAAGCAAATGGGAATACTGGATACACCGAAGGAAGTACTCTTTCACACAGCAGCAGTTCAAATTTATCTAACGCAAGCAGAAGGATTCGATTCTACCAGTGCACGTTATTCGAATGAGCAAAAACAACTCAAATTATCCTCTGGCATCCTGCCCTTGATTAAGTGACCAACATATAAACGAAATAGAAGCGTGTTATAACACAAGTGCTGTACCCTGCTGGGACGTGACAAACTCACTTGTACCAAGGGTAGTGCAAACAATGCTTTGGAATACGATTCCGTTGTAATGGATTCGACATCATATAATAAGATATAGCCATGTCATGCGAAGTATCGGCTACGGTCAAGTTAAAACGGCTCGAACACAGCCTCTCAGGTAGAAGGATCACCGACAAGGATAAAGGCAGTGAGGCAAAGGAACTCGTCTTACTTGCAACGTTACTAAAGGCAACAAACACCAAACGCACCCAGTAAAAATGTAAACGCTTACCTGTTGAGGCTTTATTACTCTCACTAGGCGGGGGAAAAAAGAAAGAAAATTTACCGTTCATCCGTCGGTGTGGAGCCTGTTGCATTCCGTGTACATACCGGGTCACCGCACCGGATACTTCAAAGCTCACACATTGACTCAACCGCGTTGTAAACAGTGCTGAAATTTTTAACAGCCGTGGTGACACCAAGCCGATGTTTTACGTGGTTTACGATCTTTGCAAGCACTATTTCGGTTAGTCGTTTAATGAGTAAGATCAAACACAGCAGCTGCGATGTAGTCACTTCCAGCAAATGCATCATTCCAATGCCAACCAACATGAAATGTGTTCGAGGTCGAATCCGAATCCGGTAGAAACCAAAGGAAGAATAAAAAATATACCTTTCCGTTGGAGTCCTAGGTAGCATCAGAATCTCCGATAAAATATAAAAGGTTACCGATTGCCATAATGCGTCGCTCGTTTCCAGGTCCGTTGTCTCCGGGGGTCCACAACATAGAATAAGAATAAAAATAGTACCTTTCATCGTGATTCGTCTCCAGGGCCCTTGGCAATACCATGCACTGCCTCTGTGCATTACAGATAATTTCAGTGTACAGACCTGGCTGTAAACTTATACCACACCCGAAGAGTCTGTGGAAAAAGAACGATGGTTCTAAGAATGGATTTCCAGAAATTATCTTCTGCATGCAGGTTCAAAATTCATAACTCAGCAATGACCCTGATGCATACAATATACAGCGTGTATAAAAATGAGAGCATGGCAATGCAGGACACTTTAACTGTTGCACATACACCCACACGCACACACACACACATACATATGACAACTTGATTGTCAAGGCTATAATTAAATAGTACGGATGGCACATGAAATAACATTGATCCTTCAGTGAACAAGATATTAATACAGAGCACAAATCAGTTGGGCTTACCTCAGTAATGATTTTACAGCTCTTCACTTGACCAATTGGACTGAAGAGGGCTATGATCAGGTCCTCTGTGACTGAAGCATCGAGGTTCCCAACATATCTGAAATTTGACTGGGTGTGAGGCTTATGCACAAGATAGTTCATATCCCCACACAAGTTAGGTGAGGCAGGGCAAAAGAACCATTGTGTTCACTCTCAAACACATGTATGGCTAGTTTCAGGTGATGGTTCCTTCCCAACAGTGCATCATGATCTCTCAGTTATCAAATGTCAAAACATGACAATGGAATCTCTAAAAAGTGACAAAAAGCCTCTGCTGATGTTGTATATAAAGTGGATCAAAACAGGTATTTCCCTAAACACTTCAATCCAGCCATGAAATGAAGACTATTGGCAAATTGTGTCTCTTTCTTCTCCCTCACAGACGCAAAGATGAAATTCATGAGGATTAAAAGCAATGTCTGGTAAACCATCCCCAGGAAGTAAGCAACACTTACATGAATTGTGCATGCATACCACATGGGGGAATACAAAAGTTGGCATCAGGGAATGATGATATGAAATTTAGGACAGGACAAAAGGCCACTTCAACACAGGTGAAAACTGGTCCAATCTCTCCAAGATCTCTAAGATGCATTTGCTACAAATTGGTTCTAAACTGCATGATGCAGGTGAGACCAATGCTGCAATATGGCATAACATAAAATTGAATGTAGTGGGTGTCCATGCAAGGGTAGAAAATTGCAACCAATGATTCATGATAATTACCAACTATACATATATTCAGACTGCCTTGTAATAATTTTGATCTTGATCAAAATTATTCCAAGGATATCTGAAAGCTTAAGGGCAAAGGAAGAGCTCTTCAGTCATGTTTGAATGGGTGACGGCTTGGACATGCATGACATGTAGACTATCGTCCCAAGGCCGACTATGTACCATAGGCTTTTAATGGTCATGACTATTTCAAGCCCCAAGATGGTGCAGGATTGAAATATTGTATTAAAAGAGCTTGATTCTTGTTTGGAAATTTAACTATGACCAGGCAAATGATCAGCAAATAAATAACTTCAAGCTCAGCCCCCATTGTGAAAATCATTGGAGTTTGTGTAAGAATAGAGAATAGTGAAGCAGCTGCCAAAAATAACGTAACATTAGATAAGTACGAGTAAGAACGTGCATACCAAGCACACAGGGATGCCTGCGTGCCTACTCAGACTAGGGAACAGGCAATGCTATTTCAGACCATTTCGTCTTCAATGGGAACGACTCCTGCACTAGGATGGAACCAATAGTACTCACAGTGTCCTTTTCGTTGCATCACACATTTTTATGAGTAATGCACCAATGCCGATGCACCATACAAACACCAAAGATTACTGGGCTCCGTGCGTCCCACAGCAATAAATCCACCATAAGCGCTTCTAGAGCGTTATGGCCGAATCAGCGCATTCACTGTTCCCACCCGCGCCAGAAAGTCACCACACTGCGCCGCTCGCCGCCTACTAGATCTTTGTGTATAGAGCAGGTCAGAGGAGTCGTTGAAATTGAAGCAGAATTGTACTTGTCATGTCTTGTAGTGATATTGAAGGTTGAACAAACATTTAGCATGGAAAAGCGTCAGCCAAACCGCCTGTCATCGCGTTTTGTAGGTTAGAGATTGTGGTTGCCTTAAATGTGAGAAATGAAAAATATTGAGAAGGAAATCCAATTCATGTTTGTTCCCCCTCTTTGTGGTAAAGTACCTAGCAAAGCTATCACATCTGATTTGCATATGTTCATAATACTGCACAGCTATGCGCGAAATTTCGGTACCGTAGCGATTGCAGCATAGGGGCATTGGAAGCCTCCCGAAACTGGGGGGAGGGGCCACTAGCCGCTTTTCTTTTTCAGTTAGCTCGCTTGAAGTCAATTTCAACTTTTCAAAAAGTTGGACAGTTTTGTCGCTAATTCGGAATGTACCCGCATCGCCAACAACTCATAAAATCGGCACTAGCCACTGGTGTCGGTTTGCATCCTTTTGGGTGGGCCATTGCTCCCCCCCCCCCCTTTGCCAATGTACGATCTGGCCCCTCATTGGTGAGTTTGGTCCCAACAATCCTTTGGAGTCCAAGCAGTTTTGGAACGTCACAAGTAGGAGCTCGAGATTATATCAAATTTAAAGAAGGCTGCTTATTGTTGCGCAGGTAAAAGAACCAAAGGAAATGAAGACTGCGATATCATGTCGAGTTTAGTGTACCTTGCTGAGTTAGTCACACTTTCAAAGCTCTGTGGTCATACCGGGCTTATATGAGTTTTTCCTGCATGCTGCATGCTATCAACCACACGAATTTATCTCTTGTTAACTCTGGTCCAGTATTGTGCTATTGCGGGAGTGTTCCGGCACAATTTAGCGATTTTTCAGGTTATACTGCCCGCAGCCAGCTGCGTCGTTTTCCCACGAGTCTTATCGGAAAATGAAAACATAGCGGTCGCATATTTGCACCCGAACAGGTGGGCAAGTTCTTACCCGTCTGCATTCAGAGGAACCCATGAAATGTGTCGACCTCCTCTTCAACGCGAACATTCGATTTAACAGCTGCAAAATCTGACGATCAGCTGACTAAACCGATAGCGGTAATCGTCCGACCACGACCATCAGCAACAGCGATGTCGAACATGCAGCAGGAACAAAGTCTTGGGACAATGTCCCAAGCAGGGACAAGGTTGGAACC